TTTGGGCGGGTGCAGGCGCCCTTAAGCGAAAAACCCTCCCCAAAAAAAAAAAAAAAAAAAAAATCTACCTTCTAACTCTTCAGAATCTGGGATATGTCAGATATTTGCCAGGAACTTGACACATATTATTTCACTTAATGATACTGATAAATGTGCCAAGATGGGGACCAGAAGATGGCACAATGGTTATGCTGCTGGACTCCCACATAGTCTATAGCAGTTCAAGGCCTGGGCCTGGTGACTTAACACTCCCCCCAGGCATGTGTGTGTGCATGTCCAGAACCCCGAGAGGAAAATGGAGGAAAAGGAACTACGGTATGGACACACCCTGGGGAGTGATTTCTTGCTTTCTGTCTCTCTGGCAAGTGCACATGCCCTATAGCTAAAATCTATCTTAAAAAAAAAGAAAAAGCAAGATGGCCTTAGGATACTTGTTCTAAGATGACAGACAATACCTGCCTAAAGTCATCCAGGTTAGTCCTAAAGCCCATTGACCAACCAGATGCCACAAGAGCAAACACAAATTACATACAAACCATCATATTTTACCTAGGGCCTATCAGATGCCAGATTTATTCTACATGAGCCCTGATCCTCATAAAGACACTGTGAAGTTCTAATTTCTAATCTTCTGTATAGTAATTACAGAAAAGAAAGGTCTAGAACTTCTAACTTTAAGTCAATGTTCTAAATGCTTTCATTTTATCAATCACTTTTATAAAAATCCACACATTTATTTGTATGTTTATTTGTTATGATTTTTAAACCCCCTTATCCAAGACTTGAACTGTGGTCTGCTATGTGGGAATCCAGCACATTCCACATCATACCACCTGCTGGGCCCATCAGTCACTGTTTAATCTCATTACATTCTAAGTTTCTTTTGCTCCTTTTATACCTTCCTGCTGTCATTTGCAAACAGTCCCAATTCTTCTCCCATTGGATTATGGCTCTTTGGAGAGATACAATTTATTTTTCTCTCTTGAATATGGGGTTGGCTATGTGATTTCCTTTGGCTAATTAGCAAACGCTACCAAGCAGAGGCTTGAAAAACTCATGAACTTTGGGACTTGCCTTCCTGTTCCTGGGAATATGATACCATAGGAATGAACTTGGACTAGCTTGGTGAAGGATGACAGATGACATCAAGACAACTGTCTTTGAAGTCTCCTCGCCTGCAAAATCAATTGGCCTGCTATCACTAAATATCCAGGCCCCAGCTAAGTCAGCACACATCCAACTCAACTCTTAAGACTGTAATAAATGTTTCTCGTTTTTAGGTCACAAAATTTTAGAGTAAAAATACACCACGTTTAAAGTACTCTTTCTCAAATCATACTGAGATTATATCTGAAGAACTGAATTTTATTAAACTTACCAACCTGCATAAATAGGCCTTTATCTGACCTACAACACTCTTCAATGTTCCTACAAGATTTTACTAAGAATTAACATGTCTAAAACAGCACATCAATTTATAATTCATCTCTCTCCCTCACAAGGAGGGATTATGCCATCAACATCTGTCTCTGTTTGTGTTGCTATAACAAAATACCGGAAATCAGGTAATTCATAAAGAATAGAAATTTATTTTCTCACTGTTCTGGAGACCAAGAAGTTCAAGATCCAAGGGCTGGCAGTTTGGAGTCCCGGAAGAACTTCTCTTTCCTTGTAAGAAGGCACCCTGGCTTCATCCTTACGTGGCAGAAAGTAGGAAGGCCTAGCTAGTTCCTTCCAGTCCTTTTACAAGGGCATGAATCCATTCAGGAAGCAAACCCTTCATGGCCTAATACACTTCCTAATGACTCCATCTCTGAGTACTATTTCACTGAGTATTAGGTTTCATCCTAACTTCTGCTGGGGACCCAAACACACAAACCACAGCAGTATCCACATAATTAATCAATACAGACGTCTCAGAGACATTTCTGTTTTGTGTCTTGTGTCTGCTCAGTCAAATTCTATGACTCTTCAAAATATTTCTTAGATGCTGGCATTGCCCCTGACACATTCCTAAACATTTTCCTGTCATCTTTTATCTGGACTACTAAAATAGCCTCCCTCTGCCAATCTCTTCCCCAATCAGCTTATCAGTCACATTGATATTAGTGATATTTTCTCATATCCAGAATTGATAATGTTATGATGTAACACCCCACAGACATGAGAAACCTGCCCACCACAAATATTTCATAGTTGGTTTTTTTTCTCCAGTATAAAATACAAGCTCCTTGGTACAGGATAATACTCATGACATTTTCTGCCCTCAAGGAACATACAGATTGAAGAGGGGACACTTATTGTAAAATAAAATGCAATGTCTTAGGTATAAAAACTGAGGCAAGCTCAGGGGGCATTTGGAAAATGAATGCATGCACAGAACTTCACCCTGGCACCCAGTCAGACAAAGCCTAGCAGAGGAACTAATAACAAACCAAAGCCTTGAGCTACTGGGAAAAACTTATCAGGTAGATAAAACAAGGTAAGAGAGTCCTGGCAGAGAAAATGGCTTGTACAGAAAACACACCCTTAAAAGTCAGACCTAAGGCCTTTTATCAATTCATACTGTATCAGAAAATGAACTTCCAGAAATTAACTTTGGGATATTTAGTATTTATAAAGCTAAAAAATCTATCTGTATAACATCAGCTTTGAATATGATAAAACATTAGGTAAATCACTGATAAATATGTATTTTTTAAAGCAGAAAACGGAATTGTGTATTTAGATTCTGAGATAGAATCTGCTAATTTTATATTTTTTATTTCATATGATGATTCCTTTTTATTTTTTTATTTTTATTTATTTATATATATTTTTTAAGATAGAGATTTTTGCTATAGGGTGCATGTGCTTGCTGGAGAGACAGAGAGAGACAGAAAGCGAGAAATCACCACCCCGCCCCCGTCCGGAGGGGTGGCCACGGCACAATCCCTTCTCCTTCATCCTCCTCTTGGGATTTTAGGCACGCCTGCATGCACGTCCAGCATGTTTTAAGCTGCAGGATCCAGAACTTGAACCAAGGTCGATTACGTGGGAGTCCAATGATGTAATTACACCAACTGCTGGTCCCTCAAAATGACTATTTTCTTTTTAATTTTAACTGAATCAATCGATTAAAATATATTAATTTGTATATTTAAAAAATTAAATGATAAAATTTATACTAAAATGACTTATAAGAATAACAAATTATCACTGTGCAAGAAAAAATATCTCTTAATAAGACTTAGACTTAAAAAAATGGAATAGTTAGAAAAAGAAAACCCAAGTAAACTATTGGTCATCTCTACTTCTAAATAGGTACTCAAGTAGTCCTCCACTAGTTGAATCACTATGGATTCCCCTTTCTCATGGCCACTGTATTTTGTTTTACAAACATTTCTCAAAACGGTATTTCCCATTTTAGTTTATCGAGGAGATTGGCCTGTCACCAGATTGCAAACACACTTGATCTTCTTTTCATGCTTTTAACATAGGAATTGCACTCCAAAGTATATATCCAACCAGTGTTAATTTGATTAACTGCCTTCATCAGACAATGAAGAGTCTTCTTTTCATTAAATTAAATTAAAAAAGAAAAAAAAAAAAAGAAAACACAACTCACCTCTAACAGGGGGTCTTTCCAGTTCAGAGTCAAGGTGAATTGGAGGAGAAATGTATGAAACCTGTCCATGATGTGCCTGCCCTGTAAATGCAAAAAAAAAAAAAAAAAGTATTAAGAAGACGTCGTAATTATGTCTTTTCCCTTATTTATCATGATGAGGTCATTATCTCACTTCACACTGAGTTAACCATTAGACAGTGTAGGCATAAAACATAAAAACAGTGTGTGTCATCCAACCATCAGCCAACTATCTTCAGTTAAGGTTTTATTTTGCTTGATTTGCTTTGGTTAAATGACAAATTTACTGTGGAGTGATACTTTAAAAAATACAACACAAATAAGTTATAAGAACAATAAAATGAAAAAAACGATACAAGTCTACATTTTTTAGTATTAGAGTAAATGCTCTTCCAATGTGCTTTAAATGTTTCTGCATACTCACTCTCAATTCCTGCACTTCATTGCAGATCAGGAATAAACACTGTAAGGACTGGTCTCCAATGCACAGACAACATTTTGAGTAACATTTGTTTAGACCCCTTTGAAGTCCTGATTGGTTAATATTGTACCTTTAAGATTTTAAGATTTGCTTCCATGATTAGAAAAGTATTCCCACCTGCTTAATGTATTGGATGGAAAAGCAAGAAACGACCACGTGGATTTATTCTCTTTTTCTTGCAAAGCATTTTTACCAGTTCACATCCATACTTAGAATTCTTCCTGTCTTATGAATGATAGGTGTTAAAGTTGATCGGTGTTAAAGTGGAAAACATTGGTAGTTTTGCCAGAAAAGAATTTTCTAATGTTCTAAGCACCTCTGGTTTCTATCTTGATGATCTAGTAAGTAATGGGGATTTTGAGGCAGCAAAACCTAATTACAGAGTCATTTCCATTTCTAAAGTTACTTTACATAAAGCAGGTTTGGGCAGAAGTGGAGGATCTACCACTTTCTACAATGGGAATATGCCGTTATATTTCACACATTTACTCTAGCAATTTACAGGGTTGTTAATCTCTTTTCCTAAACAAGGAAAGTTAATGATACATAGATGATGATAACAGTTAGAGTAACCTTCTCATTTCAAGTAATATTCGACTCGTAATAAACTCTGCTGATTCCTCTTATGAGGCACATTTCAAATAATTAATATGGCTCCCTGTTGATAGTAGCTGCTGTTGCTCCCAGCATTTTGCTAGCTCACAGCAGAGATGGTAGAGAGGCTGTAATATACAGAGTCCCTCATAATGGTAACTAAGAATATTGCACATTGCTGGCCACGTTTCAGTGGAATAGTAAAAGCACCATTATAAAAGGAATAAGCCACCAGTTGTGCACTGTGCACAGGCCACATTTAATACAGCTTATTAAAAACTTTGGATTACCTGAATTATAAAACCACCTGTTTACCTACGTGACACACTTGGTTGCAAAAACATTTCAGTTCCGAAAAATGTGTTCAACTTTTCAAATGAGCATATAATAATGGCAATTATGTGTGGCGTAACGTGTACTTTTTAAGGGTCTGTGCCATTCCCTATGAATTACTTCGGAACTCTGTGGAGGCTGTAAGCAAAAATAATATATCTTTCACTTTATATTAGTTCAACATGACCTCGACATACGAAAAATATTGATTTGATGTCAAACGCTGGAATATAGCTTACATCACAGATGACAATGACAACAAAGCACTCACATACACATCGTCTCCTGTCGTCTACCGACCACCACTGTGAGAATTGTCATCAGGGAAGTCATCCCCAAGACCTATTTTATCTCAGAGGTTTTCCAAATCATTAATATGGCCCTCCCTGGAGATAAAAGAGAGTCAGAGACAGTGAAAGAGAACATTAGAAATCACTCCCGAGGGGAGATGGCCATGCCTCAATCCCGTCTCCTCCATTTTCCTCATGCATTTGCACTGGACTGAGTTTCAAGCCACGGGTCCAGGACTAGAACCACAGTCTACCTGGAGATAAAAGAGAGTCAGAGACAGTGAAAGAGAACATTAGAAATCACTCCCGAGGGGAGATGGCCATGCCTCAATCCCGTCTCCTCCATTTTCCTCATGCATTTGCACTGGACTGAGTTTCAAGCCACGGGTCCAGGACTAGAACCACAGTCTACCAAGGGGGAGTTCAGCGTCGTAACCACTATACCATCTGCTGGCCTCTGACCTATAATATGTTTAAACTAAAGAAACAAGAGCAAGTAAGCACATATAACCAGTAAATAGCAATGCCTTGACTTCTAATCTGCATTGGAATCTATAATTATTTTTCTCAAGGAAAGTCTCAGCATACTAAGGCTTAGAAAAATAGGTATAGATTTTAGTCATTAATTCTGCCCAGATTTAACTCTATTATCCCAATATTTGGGTGGAAGTAAGCAGTTTAATGCCCCAGTTGCCTGTTCTGGGGATAAGCATGTCACTTTAAGAGTGCTCTACACGGGCTCTTCAGCTAGCATGGAAATCACAGTGTGTGTGTGTGTGTGTGTCCCTAAGGGAATGGAAATATGGAAAAGCCAACACCTTGGGGATAATAGATAGTCAAGTGCTGAGGCTGATTTGCCATAATTTTTTATTCTTTGTCCAAAGAGAAATCTAGCCAGCTGCAAGATGAGCTGTGGCAGGCAGTTAAAGCCAAAGTGGTAGGAAGGGATGCTAAACTCAGAGGAAGCTCAGAAATGCAGGAATCGTTTTGGATTTGTTCATCAACTCTTCTGATCTATGGAATGAAACTAGAAATTATGGAGGTGGTTCTTGACTGATCTTGTTAATCGTATTCTTAAAGATTTCCATGGCACATTAGTTGGTATGCACAGTCGTCCCCCACAAAAATACATAAAAGGGAATAAAGCCAATTGTAATCTGTGGCTAACCAAGGCAATGATTCTCAGGGAAGTGACAGCTCTTCATCAGGAAGGGCAGGTCAGAACAGGAAGTGAGGGCTGAGTAGTTTGAAAAAAAAACAAACCAAGAAAACACTGCTGGGTCTTCAGGATCCACCCTCCTCATTAAAAAATCACTCAAAGTAGAGACTAGCAGTTGGCGTAATGGCTACATCGCTGGACTCCCATGTAGTCGACTGTGGTTCGAGTCCCAGATCTGGTGGCTTAAACTCACGCCGGGCGCATGTGCATGAATGCCAACGATCCTGAGAGGAGAATGGAGGAGAAGGGATTGCGGGGTGGCCATCCACCCCTGGAGGATGATTTCTTGCTTTCTGTCTCTCTCTCTTTCTGGGGAGTGCATGCACCCTATAGCAAAAAACTCTAAAAAAATTACTCAAACTAATAGTAATAAAAAAACACAGCTAAAATCATAAATAACTTCCATAAATATTTCTCTTAGATTTTATAGTGACTAGTAGTCAACCAAAACTTATGATCAGTTCGAAAAGAACTGTAGGAGGCAAAAAGTACTGCAAACACATGCTGGTATTTTTTTTTTTTTTTTTTTTGAAATTTTTGCTATAGGGTATCTATGCTTGCTGGAGACAGAGACAGGGAGAGAGAGAGATTGGATAAACAACCCTCCTCCCTTCCCCAGGGGGATGACCAGCCCACAGTCCCTTCTCTTCTAGTCTCTTCTTGGGATTTTGAGAATGCACACACACACGCCCAGTGTGTTTTCCAAGCCATCAGGTCCAGGACTCGAACAGCTCAGCTGGCCATGTGGGCCAACCACCCCTCTACCAGCTGGTCTCACATGCTGTTTTTGAAGATTTTACTGAAACACTTGGACAGGGAACACGTCTGCTTGCTCTCTCACTCGTCATATCTCCACAAGGCTCTCCTGTCTCATACTAGACCAGCCAGGTCCTTGTAACTGAAACTGTGAATATTCAAATGCATGATACACTACACCTCTTATTGCCCTTACTTTGCAAATAAAAAGATATATGTCTGCTTATTCATCTCCTAATTACTTCATGTTTCCCCTTAATTTCTTTATTTCAAAACCAAAAAAAAAAAAAATCAAACTCTGGTTTTGATTAGAATTGTATTATTCTATAAATTAATTTGGAGAGTAAATATTTAAACTATTTGGACTTTATATATTTTAAAAAACAAGTCTCCATGTGTTTCACTTGCCTTTTAATAAGAAGAAATCAATTACTTTCTGACGTTTTCTACATACTGGTTATAAGACTCTATCATTAGGTTTACCTCTAAGTATTCTAGTTTCCATATTTTCAGCTAAATTATTATTTTAGGGTCAGTTAGTGGCATGATAATGAAAGTGGTTAGATCCCACATGGCTAACCACACAGTTGGAATCCTGGACCCAGTGGCTTGAAAAACATCACAGGTATATGTGTATGTATGCCCCAAATCCCAGAGTAGAATGGAGGAGTAAGGACTGGGGTGTGGCCATTCCCCGGGTAGGAGGAGATGCTTCCTCACTTTCCCCTTTTCTCTCCAGCAAGCACATGTGCTCTATAGCAAACCAAATTTTTTAAAATATACATTTTCCATGAACTCCTTGAAGATTCTCAAGTGTATATACTGAGATTATTTTGTATACAAGTCACCTCTTTAAAGTATATAATTCAGTGATTTTTTCCCCCTAGAAATGTCACCAAATTGGACAACCACCACCACAATAAATTTTATAACATATTAGCACCACAAAAACAAACAAACAAACAAAAAGCATTCCATTAACACTCACTCTCCATTTCCTGCAAACCACCTCAGCTCTCCACGAGCACACAGGTACTGTCTGTCTCTCTAGGTCTGTCTGTCTTGGACATTTTATACAAATGGAATTGTGCTGCTATGAACCCTCATGATCAAGTTTTTGTGTGCATTTCTCTTGGCTACATACTTACAGGTGGAATTACTATATTATTCAGTAATGGTATGTATATACTTTTTTAAAAAAAGCATTATCTATTTCATTGTATTTATTCCTTCATTTATGTCAAAATTTGAACAGAGACAGAGCAAGAGAGAGGGAAAGGGAGAAAATAAGCCACCAGGACCAGGACTTGAACCACGGTCGGGCATGGGGGAGTGTCCAGTGCATTAACCACCACATCACCTGCTGATCCCACTATGCATACACTATATA